GGATAATCGAGAGTAATATGTTATTAATGAGAAACCACAAAACCTAAAATATAGCTATTTATTTAAACTGATTTCAGAGGATGTTGTTATATGTGCTGTGTAATGATGCAAGAAGTTAGGAATTATGGAACATTAATTGTTTTATTCCCTAGTTAACAACGCAGTGCTGGATTGGCTACGATCTTCTCTGTGACAAAGTGTTTCTTCTCTTTCTGTCCCCCACAGTCGATTGGAAGTGGTAACTTCCTGGTGACGTTCAGCGGAGTCCCAGCAGGGAACTTCGTGGTTCGTCTGAAAGGAGAGGACAGCAGTGCCACCTCCAGGTCCTCACATAGCAGTTTCCAGAGACAGGCCTCCACTCAGATCAGGACCTCCAGCATCTCTGTTACTGTGAGCGCTGTGCACATTTATAAAGTGAAAGGTTGAATGGGTTTTCATGACACCAAGCCTTAATTAAGGCAATTATGCAGAAAATGTCCATAAAACACATATAGTTAAATCATTATAGATACAAAAAATAAATTCTATACTGTATAACTTGCTTCTGTTTTATATTCCTCCTCCTCCACTTTTCCAGGCTCAAGCCAACAACACCAACGTAGAGCCGGGCTCCACCATCTCCATCCCCTTCACGGTCGCCACCACCACCAGCGGGGTTGTTAACACCTCTGCAACTGGGACCTTCACGGTCCGTGCCAACAACGACCGCGACTACACTTCCTCTTCACCAAGCACGGTCACCGCAGCGGCAGGAAGCGGAGGCACAGCCAACGGTACCGTGACCTTGACAGTACCGGGCAGCGCCATGTCAGGAACAGATGTGACCCTCACCATCGAGGCAGAAAACGCAGCCGCCAGCGACGTCAACTACGCTGTCCTCAGGCTGTCTGTAATTGCCAAGGTATGAGAGAACATTAATATATTATTGTCAAATACAAATTCGACATCAGAGGAGAGATGTTGGGTTTAGCTTCTGTCTGAAATCAACGTTTTCTTCATGATTTGTACAATTTTCTTGTTGTGTCCAGGTGACAGATACTACCCGCCCTGTGTGCCAGGTCATCAGCACATCGACCAACTGTTCGTCCTCTTCCCCGCTCTGTTCTTCTTCCAAGTGGGAATTCGTCGCTAATTTCACAGACGGTGTCAACGGAACCGGCATTGACAGCATCACTGTCCGCCAGGGGAACGGTACCCTCAACACCAGCACAGTGGCTGGAGGGGGGGGTGAAAACATTACGGTGATTAACTACAGCGCCTCCTGCTGTGCACAGAACGTGGAGCTGACCGCTGTGGACAACGTGGGGAATGTGGGCACCTGTGTCGGCCAGGCTCGGGAATCAACCACAGCCGCACCTGTAACCACAGCTGCAGTTAACACAACATCCACAGGGGGGCACACTTTGAGCATGTCTCGTTGTCTATGGCTCACTGCTGCAGTTTCTCTCCTTTGGAAGTAATAAATAGCCAATACTCTTTAATATAACCCTGACAATATATCAGTCAGTCAGGTTAATTGACCTCTAACATTTATATTGATATCCACATTTCTTTACTCCCAAAAAATTAAATAAGCATCAATCCCAAACATCCAGAGTAAGGTTCTATTCTTTCATAAGATTAAATTCAATCTTTTGATTCAACACTGATTTTAAATGACTTTGAAAGTATAAAAATATTCAAAAGTTACTTTGTATGTTATATATATTCTTAGTAGTTTGTATATTTGTTGTGGCCATCATAACTGTGTGTGGAAGTCAATGAAACTAAACTCAGTCATCCAACCTACCTCTTACAAATAATATATTTAATAATAAGAGTGTTATTATTTCATTTACTGTGTATCTTCATGGGGATTTTGAGTAACAAATTAAAAGGGATATTCACAGATATTTAGAGGACGACTTTCTGACAGAAACCTGTGGCTGATGTCAGACATACATACGTAACAGGCAGGAAATCTGTTGCCACATCAGCCACAACATTAACACCAGCTAATTCTTATCATTGTGGCTGATCAGTGCATGTTTACACTATTATTTACATCTGATCTGTGGTGGCGGGGGAGAAGTGAAGGAAATAAAAAGAACGTGTTGTGGAATGTCATTTTTTGATTTCACTCAAGTTTACTTATAGATGTTATGTTATCAATAACAGCAGCAATGACATGAGCACCGAATAATACAAGTGGTAATAATGATGATAATATATATATATGTGACAAATTGATTCAGAACTCATCTCAGCCAACTAACACTAACAGACCTTTAAGCTTTATCAGAGAGAAAAGTTTTAAGTGTAAACTTAAAATTACAAAGGGTAGTTTTTGCAACAGGACTATTGTAATGACCCCAGGTTTAAAAACTCAGTGAGAACCATCCATTGTGAATAATCCCTAACACTAATTAAACTTGAATAAAATGGGGTTTTGCTGTTATGGTCAACGCATTGGCTAGCAAATACATTAAATAACATTTAAATATCAAAGTAGTGCAATGTTGTTAAAGAAATTAAATTCATGTACCACAAGAGAAAAAAAGAAACATGATGAATTGCTGATTGACATTACAGCAGTTTTAATCCAGCAGAAAGAACAGAATAAAACAAAAACCTCTGCTTTGTAATGTAAATATGAATCACATGCAACTAGAAAACAATGCAACATCTCTACTCTGGTCTACTCTATAACACAATATAAAGTACACATAAACATATACACATGGTTTATTGACAATGATGGTGATGATCAGAAATCTCCTCAGTACACCAGTTTTCCAGCCCTATGGAGGTAGAGGAGGGGTTGCACAAACCCAGTTGTTAAAGCTAAGCTTTTGGAGATGGTTAAGGCAGTGAAAAAATCCACAGAACTGAGGCAACACTGCAGTGGAACAGCAGTCGTATAGAGAAAGAAATTAACAACATGGACAGTAGTGATAATCAAAATGATTTTAAAGGCCCTTCTCTTCATTGGATTGATCTTCTTCTTCCTCCCTGTGCCTTCTTCCCCAGGCCCAGGGCATTTTAGAGCCCGGAGCACTGAGAGACAGCAGAAGAGCATCACAAAGAAGGTGAGCAAATTCTGGATGAAAAACCCATACAGATACAGAGTGTTTGAATATGTGTACTTGGTGTAGATACAGGAAATTAAGGTAAAAGTCCAGGCAACACAACCACAGGCCACCCTGTACCTCAGGGGTTTATACCGGAGAAAAAACACAGGGTGGACGACACCAATGTAGCACTCGGCACAGATGCAGCACAGGAAGAGAGGTCGGGCAGTGAGGAGAAGACCGCATGAAAACATGAAGACTTCAAAACAGAGAAAATAATCCAGCTGGACATAAACAATATAGCACACACTGAATAAGGAGAAAAGAATCTCAGATATAGCCAGGTTGAGAGAAAAGAAGTCTGAGGTCAAAGTGCCTGAGTCTCCTGCCAAAATCAACCACATGATGTAACCATTCAGAGGAAGACCCAGGATGATGTTGACAGAAATAGAGGCCATGGTTAAACCCACATGATGCGATTGAGCAATGGAGGGACCATTGAAGGTGGTGTTCATTTTGTGTCTGCAAAGAAGGAGGAAACACAAGTAAACATATAAAATCATAAAAACACTTTAAATTTAAAGCTACAGTTGTGGATTCGAACCTGGTGTGACGCTCACTGGTGATCCTCTACAGTTCTGGTCCAGCAGCAGTGAAGTGATGATTTGAGTGGAGATGCAAATACCTGATTACTGTTGAAATAGACACGCTCCAAAAACAACAAGCAGCGGTGGTGGACGTGTTATCAAATAACAAAGGGAGGTCTCAAATAGGGCCCATTGACATGAATATATGTGTTTCCAAGATATGTCCTGCCTTTTAACATCTGTTTACTGGGATACACACAGAAACATCAAGGTGCTAACTGGAACCAAACATGGTTCTTTGGAGTGATGCCATAGAAGAAGAATTTTTAATTCCACAAGGATTATCTAGTAAGATGAAGATCTCAAAGAACCATTACTTGATGGCTCTTTGAGGCACCATAGTGGACGCTCCAAAGAACATGAGCAAAAATTGGTTGTTTAATGAACCATTTAAAGAAGGTCCTTTGTGGACTCAAGTGGTTCAATGAGGAACGTCTTTTAAATGGCTCTTTAGAAGTTTTTCAAAAGAAATGGTTCTTATCGTATTTTAATTCAAATTATGATGAATATGATGAAACAGAACATTTACATATAGTTGATGGCCATTTATTGATATTCCTTTTTGTTTAAAATTCATTGCATTGGTAATAAATATTCAGCCTCAGAGAAGCACAAATTAATATTTTCTTCACCTTATATGGGATATTTTTATGTTGAAAAGTATAAAGTATGTGTTTAATTTACACAACACATAGGATGGTAGTAATGGATACAAATGTCATTGTACTATTCTCTATTAAACTACAACATAGCAGTAGCTTATATTTCTGTATTGTAGCTGGTTGACCCACCCAACACCTGCACATTTGCATTTCCAGCATTGGCTGTGCTCTGTCTGTCAAGGGAAAATCATGTAAATCAGTGTTGTACCTCTGAGTCATTTCTTTTGCAAATCGTGTGAACTCAGAGAAGAATGAGTAATGGGGAAAACTAATGGTCACTATGAAAGTAATGCATACCAAAACAACATGTTTTAAATCTGTTTTTCATATAAATTCATAAAACAAAAGCTTAACAACTTTAAAAGAGCATGTAGCTTTTATTGTTTTATACATCCACATGTATCATCAACAGAATATTAATTTAAATTAACTTTTTAGCTAAGTATTAAATCATTTTATATTTTTCCAAACACAAACCTGCTTGAAAGAAAGACATCAGCATGTAGCTCCAAAATAATGTTGTAACAATAATACATGTGTTGTAGTCATTCACACACAAACACACACACATACATACATACATATATATGTTCAGTTACAGTAATTGTTGTTATTTTTATATTTTTGACATATTGCTGATCTATCTATCTATCTATCTATCTATCTATCTATCTATCAAGACTATGCAGAGTATTGACACAACAATGAAAATCAGTGCAGAAAACAACTTTAACCTGAATTGTACAGTAGATATTTACAACAAACAGAGCTCACCATGGGCTTCTAAGACTTCTCTAGTTTCTAATTCTTAATAAGATGTGGGATTTTGCCTGAGTTGGCAGAGAGTCACTGAGGAGCCCACACCAAAGCCAGCATACAGAGGTTCACTGAACTGAGCTTTGAAACGGTGGATCAGCTCCATGGTCTCTGACACAGAGTAAAAGGCCAGAGTGTGGCCTGCGTAGTCTAGGTAGACACCGATCCTTGAAGCTCGTGGAGCTTCAGGAAGGTCTCGGTCTGTTTTGTTGTGCCAGGCGGAGTAGCCCGAGTCCGAGCACAGGAGACTCCAGGACTTGTCGTTGTAGCCAAGCAGGCTGTGTGAGTTCTTCCCTTTGCGACTGATGCTCTTGTAGGCCACCCCGATGGAAAACTCTCCGCTCCACTCCGCCTCCCAGTAAAATCTGAAACCGGTCAGAGGCTCCTTGCACATCACCTGGGAGAAGCCATCAAAGCGCTCTGGGTGATCCTGGTGAAACTGAACTGTTTTCTTCCGTGTGACTCTCTGATTCCCGTCGGACAAAACCAACTCTTTATAGACTGTATTGGGATCGAAGGACATCTTACAGAAATCTGAGAAAAAACAGCCACAGTTCATATTTCATTATTTATGTTTAGACGATGAGCATCCAGGGAGAAAAGGTCATACATTTATTCATCTCACTGCAGGTTATTAATAAATATGCAAGTATTCACAATGATTTACTCATAAAAGGTTCACTCACATCTCAAGAAGTCCGATCTTGCTTTTGGCTCCTGAAAATCTACTCTTCCTGGAACTGTTTGGATTTAGAAATATCCACGTTACTTTTTGTTCCTTGTTCTCTTCCAAAACATAAAATCAATCCATCTCATCAATATTCACAGGTACATGACAGTTAAAGTACGTTCATTCCAGTTGATAGACACGTACCTTTCAGTCGTTTTTCTCCATTTCTTGGTAAAAGAATGTACACAGGAGTCTCGCTAACTGTAAAGATGATGCAGCGTTGGGTTGACGAGTTACTGGCCAACTTTCAGATTTTCAAATCGAAAAGATATTCAGTGAATATTATCAATGAGAGCAAACCTGTCTTGGATATTTTGCTTAATTCCTTCTTGCAGATGTCATCCAGATGTTCCTTCATCTCTGTGGCTGACTTGCTCATCTCCCCAAAGGAGAACTGAGGGTTGATGAGCACTTTGGGCACCATGGCCTCAGGGGGAACGCATAGGGTTGGGAAATTCTGTCCGACAACAAGATATGAATTTAATAATCATCAAGAATTGTTGAACAGTTGGTTTTATGCCCCACCAATATGGATTTTTGTGGACCAATAACAATTCTACATATGTATATATAATCAAAAAGAAACCGACTTTATCATGAATTTGTATTAAAAGTAAACAGAAAAGAACCAAACATAGTACTTGAATTTAGAAAATATTTTTTGCATTGTAAATTTTGCTGCAAACATTATATTCATGACTTTAAAAATCTAATAAATGAATTGAATAATTATAATGTGTCTGGTCTTCAATTTGAGATAACTAAGGCTAATGTTCCAGTGTATGTAAAGTCAGCCTCATAGATCTTGTGTCATGTGTGAACGCCTCTGTCTTTAGCTTTATAACAAGTCAAATTAACTGTAAACATCCCTCTGTTATATGTAAAAACATAAATAAATAATATTCTGCATGAAAAAACTTGAGTAACCTTTAATAAGATCTGTTGCTTCTGCTAACATGTTTTAATTTGCAACAGACACGCATGGTTTGAGCTAATTTTCAGGAAGATTATTTTAGTATTTAGATATTATGCAGATTTATCTCTGTGCGATCAGCACCTGCAGAAAGTGAATGTTGTCCTCCGTCTCGAGGATCTGCCGCAGCTCTGCGTCTCTGCGCTGCAGCTCCAGAATCTCCTGCTCCAGACGATCCAAGTAGCCCTCAGCCTGCGACATGGCTGACTGCATGTTGGCCGTTATCATCTGGTTAATTTCAGCCTTCCAGCGCTCCACTGCCTGGAGCATTTCGTGAAAGGTCTTGTCGCTTTCTGCCTGTGCTCGCTGGGCACAGCTCTAAAATGCAAAGTCAGTTTATGCAGAACTTTTATATACAATAAGACCCACTCTGAGCCCTGCAACGGCATATTAGGGCCACATTGAAGAAAGAAGTAATCTGACATTTTGAAAATATAGTCATTTTATTATGAGAATAAAGTCATAATATTTCCAATATTGAAATCTACAATTTCACACTCATAATATTATGATTATTTACATAACATTACAGCTTTATCCTCATAATATTGATATTTTTTCTTGAAAAATTACAACTTTATTCTCATAATATTATGACTTAATTCTCTAAATATCTGAATAGTTTTTTTCCTTCAATGTGGCCTTAATACTCCATCATACTATACCACTAGACTGTATCTTGTCACATACAGACAATGTCAACAGCATCTTAACAAGCAAAAATCCATGCATATGTGTTTGTCGGATCTTACTTTGAGAACATCCGTATTATGCTTGAGCTCCTGCAGCTCCTTCATCCTCTCCTGAATGATGTACTGGACTTCAGACTGAGTGACCACCAGGACTTTCTGATGGAGGAACACAGAGGTAACAAGACAGGCCTTCATAAAATCACGCAGGAGAAGCTGCAGCTTCTGCATTAGACTCAAAGTCTAGAGGCCTAAAATCAGAACTGAATTCAAAACTGAACTGACAGGATTTCATTGCAAAAGGAAATCTATCACTTGGGGTCAGACTCACTTGTTTCTCTATGCGCTCTTCTTCTGCTGAGGTGATGTTGTGGCTGCGGTGCTCTCTGACAGTACACAGCACGCAGATACACATCTGGTCGGTGCGACAGAAGAGCTCCAGGCCCTTCTCATGCTGGGGGCAGATCTTCCTGTCCAGGTGGCCCGTCTCGTCCACCAGCTTGTGTCTCTTGAACGTGGATGACTCATAATGAGGCTTGACGTGGGTTTCGCAGTAGTAAGCCAGGCACATGAGGCACGACTTGACAGCCTTGCTGCGGCGGCCCACGCAGAAATCGCAGAAAGATTCGCGGTGCATGTAAGGGAATGGCGTGAGCTCCGGGAGCTGGCGCCGGGGCTCGTTACTGACGTCCGGGAGGTTACGTCTCAGCACGGGCCGCGGTGTGAAGGTTGCACGGCACTGCAGGCAGCTGTATACACCCATGTGGTCGAACTGGTCCCAGTAGATTTTGATGCACTCCAGGCAATAGGTGTCACCACAGGGGATGGTGACTGGGTCTGTCATCACATTCACACACAGTGGACAGTAGGCCTCAGGTGGTAAAGGGAAATCAGAGTCGGCCATGATGTTGCTGGATGATACAAATATCAGAAAAACTCTGAATCAGAACAGACTCTAGTTCCTTCGTGCTACTTATCGAAGAAAGTCTCTGAAATAGACCCAATGATAAGTCAAGTGCTGCCTGTCTGTCCAGAGAGAGCCCAACCACTGGCTCCTGATCCTGCACCTTCTTGTCAAACCAGACACAACCCTGTTTTCTGTTGACATTTAAAGGAAAGTTTGTTTCTACTGTAAGCAAACAGGTGATGTGTTTCCACAGAGCTCCTTTTCCCCACGCCTGAGTGAAAGTACTGACGTCTGCAACCAGTCTGCTTACAAAGCAGGAAATTCAGCTCATCTCACAATGCAAGGTCAAGTTGTTTAATAACAGCCGGTGTTAATGACCGAGAACAACAGATGAATGAGTCTCATTCGAAGACGTATCCACTTGATGCGGCTGATACTGTGTTGATACTGTTTGCTGTCTTTGTTTGCATTATTGCATTTTAGCACAGAACATGTTTCACCATGATGTGTAATGTTAACAACACGCAGGACTCAGAAATCCGTCAGAGCTGTCTGACGTTGCTTTCCATTGATATCAACCTCAAACCTTCACTTATCATGGCAGAGCAGTTAATTACATGAAGTGCTGTAGCTTTCCATTTGACTGAGCAGTGAGTTTCATGATGGTGCATGGTGTCAAAACAACTTCTGTTTATCCTGTGAACAAAATGCAGCGCATCAGTTACAGCATGTGGGTTCCCACAGGAGAACATCTGACACCTGAAAACAATAAAAAGTAAAAGGAATGCAGTGGACCATTTATAAAAGCATTTAATTCGATGTAACACAAATATGCTGTTAAATGATTAAATTAAAAAAAAGTTTTGGATTTGTCAGTACTCAGATTAATTTATTGACATGTTGTTCATCAAACAATAACATTACAAACTGACTATATCCCAGTTATTAAATCTGAGGAGGCTTTTTCTGTAAAATGTTTTATCACCGTTTGTAGCTTAAGTTTAAGTACAGTATTTAAGGCAAAAAAAAGTCGGAATTAGCAAATTTGTAGTTTGCAGTGACAAAACTAAAATTGATTTGGAAAAAGTAACTAATAGAAGTCATGAATATAATTTTCTTAGTTTTATTTGCAGAAGCTCAAAAGTGGTTGCACACATAGGTAATATAACAAATACAAAAGGCGCCTAGTAAATGAAGCCTTGTGTATGTGATATCTCTGGAATGGCATTCCACAGACATGTACATTTGGCACAAAAATGTACAGAGTTATCTCATGTTCCTGTTAATATGATATTGCAGGACTGCCTGTAGGGAATTTCATGGTCAAAGGTTAAAGTCACTGTGACTTCTCAAAACATACATTTATGTGAATGTAATCATCAAAGGGATTTTTTTCAAATTTGTACTCCTGCTCACTTGTACTCATTGATTAGATTTCATTGGTCAAAGGGCCCAACAGTCAAATTCCACATACTTTAACATATCAGTTCCCCAAATGTGCAAATTTGAAAAACTGTGAAAATAATGAAATTCTCAATTTGTGACTTTAACAAATTTCAGCCAGTGTTGAATTTGCTACACAATTAGCTTTGATATGATACAGTACCTAACCCCAGCAGAAGATAAATGTTTGACCCCTGTGGTTGCACGTGGATGATCCACAAAGATGATCTCATCAGAGTTTAAAGTGTGATTATATAGCTTGTTCCATGATATTCAGCTTGAATATGAAGCTGGGACATGGGATTATGTTTCCAGTAATGTGTCAGCCTTGTATTGTTAACTCTCTTTGTACTCTGAAGGACCCACTCTCCTCTTTGTCCAGACAACAGTGCTCTTGTGACAATGACACTCAGAGAGATAAAGAGAGAAAGCGAGTGGCTGGGAGAGTGAAGGAGAGGAGGAATGGCAAACCGCTGTGAGCTGAGTTTAGTGTTTAAGAGAAAAAAAAGATGAGAAACTGAAAATAAATGAACTGAAATAAAACAATACCAATATGACATAAATAATGTTTCCACAGAAGTGAATATTTACAGGCAAGAAGCTGGAAAAACACATGAGAGGCTGAGTATAGCCATGATGTCATTGACTGTGCCAGTTGGTACCCTCTCCCTCCTCCCTCCCTGGTCCTCTCTCTCCTCCTGCCTCTCTGTGTCTCTTCGTCATCAGAGGGAGAAAGCCTGGGAGTGGCCGGAAGGAGGAGAGCCAGAGGAGAGCAAAGAAGAAAGAGGAGGAGGAGTAGGACAAAGAGGTCGACCAGCTCTACACGAATCAGGATTTTCCTCATTATCGCCAGAGCATCCTTCCATTTACAGCAGCAGGTACATTTTACTTTCTGGGGATTTTCGGCATCGCTGTTCATGTAGCAGGAGCTAAAGTGATACAGCAAATAGACAATACAGGCATATCTGTTTATGCTCCAATGATGACGACTAATTTGAAATATTTATGAAGACATTTTTTAATTCACCAGTACACTTTAATATCTTAAACAGATTCAGTATTATTGCAACACTGTCGCATGCTTTTATCTGCTTTACTATTTGTTTTCTATGGTTTGATGCATTTGACGGTTCTCACCCATAAAACTTAATACGCTGGTAGTTGCAGCGAGCAAGAAAACTGTATTTAGAAGCTCTCTGTGGAATTAAGAAGAGCACAATATTTTAACTATGAAACAACTTGGAGGCTTACATTTGAATTTCTCTGCATAAATCACATTCTTAATTCACAATTTATTTACCAGCCTTACTGAATGATCATGCCCAGAGAGAGAGAGAGAGAAGGAGGAGAGAAGGAGCCTGTTTCTTCATTCACTGAACAGCAGTGCAGCCATTTGTAATTTGAGTTGATTGAATTACATTGGCCTCAGAATAGCTTGAGTAACACTAACACAACAGAGATGGATGTGAAAGTGTGTATAAGTGTGTATCTGTATGATCTATATGCCTGTGTGTGTGTGTGTGTGTGTGTGTGTGCACCTCCACTTACGCTGACCATGACAGTCATTTCTTGGCAGACAGGACATTAATCAGCTAATGGAGTCATGAATTAGAATGTTCTTCCATTTCACAACGTGTCCTCACAGGGATAGAGAGTAAAGGAACATCACCCAAAGTCCAATAAGGACGTCATCACTTTAGTTTTAGGGTAAGGACAATGGAACGGAATGCAGCCGTTATGCTTCTTTATTAACATCATCAATTTGTCTGTGTGTGTGAGTCTGTCAACAAAATCTCTGTGTGTGACCGCACACTGATGGTAAATGCATGTTTACTGCACGTGCATCTGTCAGCATGGCCGAGGGCTCAGTGAGTGCAGCGGAGGTGGAGACCGCCTTCCAGAAGTTTGCAGTCCACGGGGACACCAAGGCCACGGGGAAGGAGATGAACGGCAAGAACTTTGCAAAGCTCTGCAAAGACTGCCACGTCATCGACGGAAAGAACGTCACCACCATAGACGTGGACATAGTTTTCAGCAAAGTCAAGTAAGAGTTCACTCAGGCTCAACCTTCCACAGCAACCCTATCACAGTCATACACCCAGCTGGTACAAACATATATATTAGCAGTCCAGTCCATGGAGAGTTGGGTTATTCATTTAGTCTGTAATTGATATTAATATCCAAGAAGTTCTAATGTACAGTACAAATGTTCAGTTACAGTTGTAGATAGAGGTGGATGTAATTAGTTCATATGATATATTAAGTCTGGACCACATGGAGGAAGTCCATGACCCGGACTGTATTTAACTGTGTGCATTACTGTGACATTAGGTTTCACATGTTTATTTCACCTTTTTCTAGATGAATTAATTGTTGTAAATGTAATCACAGCTTATTGCATTTTTTCGGTGTTCACTTTTTACTCCCTAGCAAATCTAATAATCCCAAAGTTATACCAATAAAGAGTCATCCCTTCTTATTTTCCTTATTGGTCAACATACTCTGTTTCCTCAGGGCGAAGTCAGCTCGTGTAATCACATTTGAGCAATTCAACCAGGCCCTGACGGAACTGGCTCCCAAGCGTTTTAAAGGCAAAAGCAAGGAGGAGGCGCAGCAACAGCTCTATGGTCTCATTGTTGGGAGGGAGCCGACCAATGTCGGAATCACTGTGAGTGTTTCATGAATCATAACAGCTTCATCCTTCACCCCTCCTCAACAAGGTAACATCCAGAGACTGTATTTATGGGTTCCTTCAAATTAAAACAAAGTTTTTGGATTAAACCACCACAACACAACTGATAATTCATCATGTTACACGTCTAATTGGATAAGCTTTGGTATGAAGTGAAGAACATGCATCAGATTGTGTTAATATATCAAAGTTGAAATGGGTTAAGGAGGAATCTGGAGGCACTTTAATCTCTGTTTGAGTGAGAGTCATAATATTTTGTTCACAGATATTTTTGTTTTAAATAATTTAAACTGTATGCACCATGGCCACTGTTTAGCCCAAATATTTGACTGTGAGTTTTTGACAGCTGTAGTGTCATTTTTGATTATACCACCAGATGGCAACAAAGAAGTTTCATATCCTATAGCTTGATAGTGACATATCTAATCAAAGTATTCAGAGAAGTACTCATTGTGTTGTAGGGACCTCAACCTGTTTCAACAGTCACATTGTGGGGACTTGACCCACAATGATTGTGCGTCCGCAGAAGATAAGTCAGAGTGAAGACTTAGTTTAAGGTTAGGGAGCTGAAGGTTAGGTTAAAGGTTTGAAAGTAATGTAAGTTATGATCGGAGAAAGCTTTTTGTGTGTGTGTGTGTGTGTGTGCTCTTATCTGTACCTGAACATGTTTGTTTATTTCAGTTTTCACTGTATTTTTTTTTAATCTTTCATTGGATTTAGAAAGTAGCAAAGGCAGCAGCAGTGGACAGACTGACTGATAGCACCAAGTACACTGGATCGCACAAGGGCCGGTTCGATGATTCCGGCAAAGGAAAAGGGAAGTCCGGGCGCGAGGACATCCCGGACACGAGTGGCTACGTGTCCGCGTACAAGGGCAGCGGCACTTATGATGACAAAGTTAAAGACGCATAATTCTGAAAGTTTAGGAAAACTTGAATCAGGGGTAAAATAAATAATTGGCAAGTGTATTTTTAAAGATGAAAGAAATATACATATTGAATGTACTATGGGCGGATTCATAACACTCAACACAAAAAAGAAAATGCAATTGGAGCTTCAAGGTTTTCTTAAGTTACAACCAGGATGGGAAACCTGGAGACAATATTTCCTAAATTTATATTTAAAAGAAATTAATTTATTGACCGACAATAACAACTGAGAGTGTTCTGAAAATATTTTCAGTTATTTTACCAAGAGATAAAACTGCACTTGTGGCCGAGCAATCTTCTAAATGCTTTACACCGTAGCTTAACACTATCCCTATATATTGATTTATATGCGTGTGAATGCATTAATATAATGAGCTGCTTTTCTCAGCTAAATCGATGCAATGGGTAAAAATGTAGCTGGTTTCAAGAAATGATGCTGTCTGTACTCAGTGCTTCACTTGCTAAGCTTTATGTCTCAGTGCCTTTTGCTACATTGCCAATCAGAGCCCTTTATTGTTCTAGTTACTGGATTCATTCATATAAGTGAATCAAACTATGTTTTGTGAACAAATGTAACAAGAAGTGAAGAAGACAGATTTTGACTCTACTGGAAAAAATTTAAGATAAGAAATAAAAATGGTATAAGAGTATCCTATCTTTTCCCTATTGATAAAATCATGTAATTTTGTTTAAATGAATAAAGATCATTCCTTCACTGCCTGAATGAAAGGCTAAGGTGAATACATGTAAAAGCTTGAATAAATATTTGAAAATGCATCAACACAATTGTCTTATATACACATCCATATATTTGCATCCTTATATCTTTTATCATAATTTGCTTTACTGATTTATTTCAGATTTTAGTAATAGTGGAGGCATATTGCAATGTGAGATGAAAGAAGAAAATCCTTTCAGAATAAACAGTAGTTAGGGATATATATTTATAAATATATATATATTCTGTTTAACAGCAATGCTATCCATAACTGCATGTGATATATGCAGACTTTTTGCTGAATAAGATTATACTGTATAAGGCTACGTAAAAATTCTCAGTATTTCCAATAAATATCTCAAGTTTATATTTTCAATTTATAGCCACTCAAAAGAAAGATACACGTTACATTTGATTTCCAGAAATAGCCCGGATACAATTTCACAACATAAAGAGTTCATGGAGAACATTTAACACACATCCAGCTAACCTGGACCCTCCTTGCAACGTGATGCCAGAGGTATTTAGGGAGGGTTCATCTGAAGCATTGAACGTAGATTATCATGTGGTGATTATGTTTAAAGATAACTCTCCTAAACCATTACATGCAGAACCTGATAAGCATCAGTTGGGTTTTGTGTGAATACTAGAGTTGAATTTCATCGTGCAGACCCTGTCTTCTGTGTAATATAATGCTCGAGTCATGAATCACTATTATCACTGACCTGTCAACACATAGGAACCAAACCGTTTGTAGAGGAATAATGTTTAAAGCCCATTACTGGACCTGAAACAAAGACATGCACAACAACACTACCATGGAATCGCCTCATGAATTTAATATGGCAAATTATTTAGGTAGGAATCCAACAGATTCAAAGAGACACATTTATTCATTTCGAGTGATGTAATACTGACTTTCTGAAATAAAAGATGATAATCTGCACAGTAAAGACTGAGGGTGAGCAACTTTTACAATAATTTAAGATGTTGCTATTATAAAATATTGATTTGCCGACATTTATAAAAATATAGATTTATAGATTAATTTTGTACTTTGACAAAGGACAAGTTGGACAAAATGTTCAGTACAATTCAAATTATAGAGAAGAATGGTTTTTGCATTGTTAGGATCATTACTCTTCATTAACAAGGAAAATCTTTATGTGGTAGACTTACCTTTGGAAACCATAATTCTAACCAGCTATACACGTTGTGAAACAGGTGAGGTTAATGTGCAGCTTCGCAGATCTCACGCTTAACACTGTGATATGACAGAACTGTATGAGCTCATTGTTGAAAGGAAGGATCATTCTTTGACCAACAAGGTTTTAAACATTAAAGTCTTGGTTGATCATTAAAACAGTTGTTGGAGTTAGTTAAATAACATTAGTGTCAATGTTCAGGTCCACACTTTCCATTTCAAACTGCTCCCTCATGGTCCGACCATGAACAACAGTCTTGGCTAAACTAGGCCATTCTTTGATCATCAGTTTCCAACAGAGTGACAGGTGCAGAGGGATAATGCAGCAGGGTTTTCATAAACAACAAACTGAGAGATCATATCAGTGAAACCAGACACCTCTGACCCTGCGTTCCTACACACTTTGAGATGCAATCCAGGAAATTATGATATACACTGGGGAGCTGATCAGGATGATCCCACTGGAACCTGCTCCCATGGGTCACACCTATAGCCTGAACAGCTCAGGGTGAGGAATATGGAACCAGTGGGTGGGGGATGTTATAGGGACCGTTTACTGGAGAGCGTGGGCGGCCAGTTGAGTTGTCACAGAGATCCACCAATCTGGAAATAAAACAGATGTGGCAAGATAGTGTTGCAAAGAAATGCATCTTTGTGCACTTAACAGGACAGCTTCATTAAAAAAAAATATTCCAGTGTTATTGGTTACCAGGAATACTTTGGTTTTAAATTCTGGACTGTAAGATTATACCTTAAAAACACATTTGAGAGGAGATTCCCTGCTGGACTTAAGTGAGTTAAGTATTTTTTTTCACAAAATTATTAGGCCAAATCTCATCTCTCTTGATGTTTCCTATGGCAGTCGTGTTGTGCTTTTATTGTTGTATTAAAACCAACTAAACTTTGCTCTTTTTTCAGCTTTCTTTACATAATTTGGCAAAGCTTTGTCCAGGAAAAGTACATTTCTGGCATAAACTAAAAAAGGATGAATACAAAATAGTGTTTTTTTTATTTTTATACATGTTATTATGAATCAGAAACATATGTGCTAATTGAAAACTTTTAATTGTATTTGGCTTTTTTCATTTACGGCCCAAAAAACTGAAGAACATGGTCTGTAATCATCAATTTATTCCCACACTCTTTTCTGTCTGCAGGTATTTCCTTGAGAGATGAGAGCTACAGTCTGCACTCTGATTGTCTTGGGCCTGCTGTGGGACAGTGTGAGAGCAGAGATCCCCATTAACAGCCTGAAAGCGGCAGCAGGTTAACTTTTTACTGTCTGACTATCTCAATAATGTGTTTCACGCATGTGTTGCATAAATGTTTGTTTAATTAAAATGTTTGTATATTTAACATTGCATATTTAACCCTCTCTGTGGAGTGTTTGTGGACCGGATTTTAAACAGGCGCTTAGAGAACATCAGCTGATTTCAAAATAAGATGCCACTCTTTCTCTCCTTTTGCATTTGTAGTTGCGTGGACAGGGGACCTGCCGTGCAGAAAGTGGGACTGCGAGTGTGCGCTCAGGCACCATCGGGGCTGCTGCTGTGCCACCCATGAGCTCCAGGAGGCAGAGGACCAACTTTATGTGACAATAAAGGACTTGTGGATGAGAGTGTCCCAGCTGAGTGACAGCGCACTTGAAGCCATCGGTACTCTGAAGCGTGATCACTTGTAGAAAAGTCCATATATACACTCATAATTTGGTGTTGATAAAACTATGCATAGTGTTTTGAGTCTCTAGCTGTTTTTACTCCAGACTGAAGCAGATTATGATCTTGGAAAAACAGCCTCACTACATTGATATATGGCTCATTTGAGTCCAGACACTTTCTTCATATTTCTCTAATTCTGGTTAAGAGGGGTAATTATTTATTTTTGATTTGCTCTCACTTATCAGCAGAAGGTAGTTAGACAGTATAAGATAATTTAATTTAGTTTTTCCACAGTGTTTAAAGAAATGTATTGATTTAAGAGTTGTTACCTTTATCAGTTGACTTAATTTTAGAATTGTAAATCTCATCATTTCTCTGACATTATTTTTCATGACTATAAAGGTGAGGTGATTCCTTTTTTTATCCATTTCACATCTGGAAGTCCTTCGAAGTGCTGAGATAGGATCTGCAATACCATTACAACTAAAGATCCTGTAATGTGTTCAAGGACAAGAATAAACTTTGAACCTGAAAAATGTTCACCAATGTTACAAAATGAAAATAATTAATTACTTTTTTCAGGAAGACAAATCATGCTTTATTTTCAGTAGGTTGTTTGTGTAGGTGAAAGGTCTGCAAAGTTAAAAAGCCCATCATGAGCCCTCTCCACTGCACTCCGTGAAAAGGGAAGGAGAAACATTTAAAAGACTGCAATGAAGACAGTTAACTAAAGTTATTGTCATGATACACAATATATGATGCACTCCTAGCATCTAGTCTGGCGCCCCCTAACCAAGCCAGGTAAAGCGAGAGTGGAGGCAAACATTTCCTATAAACTGCAAGCAGTTGTCCAATCAGAGCAGACTGGGCTTCATACCCAAATTTAAAATTTTAACCTGATGAGCAGAATACGTCTCCCTAAGTTTTATAAGGATGTGCTTGCTTTTTCAGGAGGGCTACAGATTGCGTTCACTGCCTACATGAGCCCCAGAGAAAACTGCTTTGGACCTTTCACCAGAAATACGCCCATTCCTTATGATGTCATCACCCTCAACCAAGGAAGTGGATACAACCCAGCTCTGGGTGAGTGCTCGAAAGCAGCAATTTCAACATGACTCATGTGATTTCTGTCCGAGTGATCCGAGAGAAATTTAAAGCAAAGACTAACGTTGAAACATGCAGCTTTAGTATTTGGCAGGAGATTGAACAGGGTGAGAACCCATCCAGTAATAATTAGATTCAACTGTGGGTTCAGCCAGTAAAGGTTGGACTTCTGCAACTGCTTGTATCATGTGAATGTGGTTTGAGAAACATTTTTTAAATGATATTCAGTTTATACTCTTTCAAATGTTTTTCAAAAGCACAGAGCGTGATGTCATCATGCTTCTTTCCCATATAAACATCCAACAAAACCTTTAAACACATTAAAAAATAAAAATAAATAAAAATGTATTATTTCTTGTTTGATATTCAGTTTACCTCTACCAAACCCTTGAGACCATGCAACTGCAGCAGCGCCGCATGCAAACGGAATGAAAAAAAGGTTCCTGTAATCTTTCAGGTGTATTCACTGCACATCGTCCCGGAGTGTACTCCTTCTCGTTTTCCGTCTACTGCAATGTGGGCATGGCAGGGAAGCGGCTGTACTACAGGGTGCAGCTCATGAGAAACAGTGAGGCGTTGGCTGCCACCTGGGAAGACAACAGGGAGGACTCAGAAGACAGCAGCTCCCAGACAGTGCTGCTGCCACTGCAGCAGGGAGACCAGGTCTACGTGGAGCTACAGAGCGGCCGGCAGCTGTGTGGGAACGTCATGGGCCTCAACACCTTCTCTGGCTCCTTGATTTATCCCACTCAGGCCTGAATTATATCACTGTGGGTTGATTTATTATTTTCTCAGTAAAGAGGAAAATATCACATGAAAATAAAGACTAATGCAAACTGTATAATTTAATTAATCCTGTGTGTTATGGTTATAAGAACATACATTTTAAATTGGCTCAAGCCAATGACTGCAACCTATAAAGAGGACACCGCTCCACAGTCACGATTAAACAAATATTTTATTCACAAAGCCAAAGAATAAACAAATGTTAAATTAATCTGAGGAGTGTGAAGGCCTGACCAAAAAGAACAGAAAACACAGGAAGATCTGGACCAGCCACACAATGGGCCGTCAGATCCAGATACTTCCCCACCTGCCTACCTAAGAAACAGTATCTAAATAAAACAACAAGCAAAGAGAGGACGACCAGACCCCCAACTCACAAAGAAAACAAACAATTAACACAGTGCCACAATGACACAGGCTGCTGACAGAGCTTCTCTTAAACCCCCTCCACTAATCACACTCATCACAGGCACCTGAGAGGAGAGAGTGAGAAAAGAGGAGGAGAAAACAAAAAAAGGGAGGAGCATGTAACACTGTTTCATTGCAGTGTGGGCATTTTGTTTAGAGCTTAAATAAAAAATAGGTTCAGAAGATGTTCTTTTAGTTTGTTCACCTTTCCACACAGATCCACAGTTAAAACTTAAATCTTCATTAAAATGATATGGTGCTAGTGCAGTCCTCGTTTGGAATGTTCTCTTCTCTTGGCGTGTTATTGCTCTGCAGCTATGCAGGAATACTCCTTGAACAATTGCCAAACAGGAAGTGATTCTATAAATGTTGTCATTTTGGAGATCAGTTTCCATAAATTCCTGTCTCCGTCCAATATGGTGAAATAAAAAAATATGTTGAAGAAATAATAAAAATGGCAGTGATTTTGACCCACGGTTATACCCAGTTTCTGGCCACTGCTGTAGTTTAGTACGTAGAATATAAAACAGGAAGTAATGCAGTCTTTAACATTTCTTCAGGCTGCACAAAAACATGAAACAGTGGCGAAGTAATCATATAGTAATGCTACTTACTATTATTTGAGGTTACACAAAAACTATTTAGTATATTGCACCATTTTGATAGCAAACCATTCAAATAGCAAAAGCAGGAAGTTGTGTAATTTTTTTCCAGGGTGGGGATTTTATGAAAAGCCAACAACACATAGCAAATGTCAGTTGTGATAAGATATGAAGTGGGTTGACAGAACAAGACTACAGAACTGTGTACACAAATTTGCAGGTTAAATTGCTCTTAAACCCTGCACTCTCCGAGATATCCATGACCTATGCATGACTATCTATGACTAGGAGCTAGAGGTAAAGGACCCAAATCTAATTATTTGGTTTATTTGACCAGTAAATCTTGTTTGGGTTCGTCTATAAGCAGTGTGGCAGTTGTTGTTGTTATTCAGAATCTGTACAGCAGATGTCAGTATGAAATGTAAATAGTGGAACTGGAATGAGGATCTATAGACACATCCTGCGCTGGTGAATCTTTTAGTAACGGAGCATTTTAAAACTCGCTGTGAACCGGTGCCTGGTACCCAGACAAAATAGACGAGACCTCACTCAGGCAGGGTGGCCCGGATGCTGGGCTGTGTCAGTTCAATAATTGTTGCATTGGATTTTGACCAAAGTTTAAACTTGGAAAAATACGGATCAGTGTTTATGAGCAGCATTTTGATGAAACTACTGTTATTAGTTAGCATTCTTGCGAGACCACCACCTGATGTTACGTAATTTGACAATCCAGGATTTGCATGTAATTACTAAATGGGAATTCTCTTTTCACCATAAAAGCAGTCATTGTGTGTTGAATTTCAAAGCAAAGTTAATGTAAGCCAGCAGAAGATTGGGTAGACCTTTTTTTTTTTTTATGATCCTTTTCCTTCTTTTACCAGAGAGAGCCCCTCTACGTCATGCTTGCCAAAAGCATCAAACTTTGAACAAACCAGAATTGATGATTGCTGAAACAGTGGGAACAAAAGCATATTGTTGGTAATAAGTATGTTTTATGACGATTTAATTATTGCTTTTTGGGACCTTTTGGTTCAAAAGGAAGGGGAAATTGAGGATAAAAGCCAATCCTGTTTCTGTTATGTTATCAGAGAACTCATTCCCTACGTATTAACATTAATTTGAAATGTTGGATGAGACGTTTGGTATTTTTAAGTCATTTATTATGTAGGTCTGTCATGTAAATTGTAGCTCCTTAAAAATAGAGATAGATTAAAATTGGAAGATTCAAAATATATAATTTGTTCCAGTACCAGGCTGAGACTGAGATGTCTGTGAAATTATCTACTTTTGACTACTCTGGTTTTCTATTTTTTGAGATGCATATGGAAAGCGGAGATCCTGTAAATAAAGGCCTCTATCTTTTTATATTCGTATGATTCATGACAAGATTCTTCTTTAATGCTTGAAGTATATCTCATACAAAGGATGTTCAGAAACGTTTATTGATGTGTGCTTTCAGAAGGCAAAAAACAAAAGCTTTGTCAAAGTTAAGAAAGAAAGTATAAACCACTACAATGCTCTGAACATTCAAATTTTTTAAATTCAAACATTTTAACACCCTGAAGACAAGGTCAATGTTTTTCCACTCAACTTCCTCCTTTGCTGTCACAAAGGATGATCTGGAACATGTTGGTATTCTTTTAATCCGTCTTCCACGTAAGAAAATATGAAATACTTTCACTGTGCAGTTATTAAAGTTACCAATGACTGTCTAAAATAAAAAGCATCTGTTACGTCCCTAAGACGCCTAGCGGATGTGGGACCAACAATTATGAATAAACTGGGCGAAAAAAAACAAACAATTGACCAACCAGGATGCGTTAAAGAAATGCACAAGATATTTATTACTGAACGTAGGATCTACACAAAACAAAGCTTTTAATAAACTGAAGAGGAATATAAATCACCATCGACCAACTAACTGAAAAACAATCTCCCCATGACAGGAAACTGAAACAGAGAGAGAGAGAGAAGACAAAACACAGCACGTAACACATGAAAATACTTGTTAACTGATAGTTTCAGGTTTTATTTCTCAATCAAAAAACTACAACTACTGTACTTTTATTCGTACAAAACCTTGCAGTTCAGATTGCTCTTAATCCCTGCACTCTTCAAGACGTACACAACTTTACATGACGTTAGACCCATATATTCTATTTCAGTATCATCTTTAACTATCCCAGTTATGTTGAACATTTCATAAGGAGGGATGAGCACCTCTAGTTCTACCTCATAATCAAAAAATGTATAATGTTTCAAAAAAGCACCTGAGCAGGTCTTGATTTTGAAGCAGGTGCCATTACCAAATTGTACCAGGTTTGGCCTGTAGGAGCTAGAGGCAAAGCCCCCAAATCGAATTATTTGGTTTATTTCACCAGTAAATGTTGTTTGGGTTCGTCTATAAGCAGTGTGGCAGTAATGGTTGTTATTCAGAATCTGTACAGCGGATGTCAGCATGAAATGTAAATAGTGGAACTTAAATGAGGATCTATAGATGCTCTTTTGGTTACGGACATCATCATTGAACAATGAGTAAATCTCATCAGATGTGTAAAGACAGATGGCATGCAGATGATCTTTGGTTAGACCCTCATCCTCTAGAAGAGCTAGTTTCTCCTCTGCACACTCTTCTGTGTTCTTCCAGGCATTTGCAAATGTTTTGTTCACATAGTTTTCTTCAGGGAATTTGCTCTTGGCAATTTTCATCATTACTTCACTGCAGCCAAAGTACATGTCATCAACCGACTCTTCAACCATGTTCAATGGGATGCTTCTGTCATTGCCCAGGTCAACATCCTTCAGTATGATGTTGTCATGGCCCTGGTTGACCTCCATTGGTACAGACTTGATACGGATCTAAAGTAAAACAAGTGAAAAAGGGAAAGGTGATTTAACAGAGTAGAAATGTACTTATTATTTCCATATTTTCATAATTATTTTGAGTGTCCATATCACTTGTTTAGTAAAAAACACTGAAGCTCTAGTACGTAAGCTAAAATTTGCACAATGCAACTATTTATTTTTCTTAATTTGTGGCAACAATCACTGGTTGGATCATTTTCATATGCAATATATGTTTTAATAACTTTAACACTGTGAACTTCAGTATATAAATCAGCCAGTTGTAGCAGCAGAGCCTTGGGTTTGCATCCTGATTCCCAACTGTGTGTTAGGTTTAGACGACTAAAAGCACTTGGGTTCTGTTATGTAAAGATTGTAGTTTTGGTTAACAAAAGAAATGTTGTCTGAAACCCCTAAGAAATCTTTCTGTATGAAACCAGACCACAGTCTTTGACAAACTTTAACCAATGAACTACCTATGTCTATGCATGTAAATATTTTATGACATTGTTTTCTCCTGACCATATTTAGTGTTGCATGTCAGTTGTATATAAATGTAAATTCTATGAGATAACATGGGTTCCACTCACCCTCATGGAGTCTACATGGTTCCAGTAAAGCAACCCACACAGTGACGCAAAGATCAGCATGTTACACTTCATCATTGTGGTCAGAACAAGTATTTCTAAATTACAGACAGACACAAAACAAGTCAACAACAATCAACTGGATCACATTGTATACCATTATCACAGCAACTGTATATTTACTTCTGCCAAGGAAGTTTTTTCCTGCTGTTTTTCTGTTAGCAGGATTATGCAGAAATAACAAAATTGATATTATTGAAACTTAGTAAAACGGTGTGGTAGGAGCGAAGGAAAAGCCATTAAGTTGTATTATAGTTATAAATTAATTGAAATGGTAAATGGAAAGACATTGAAAATCTTTCTGCAATTAACAAAGTAAGTGTTCTCAGAAGTTGATTTCAACTCACCAGTCTTTTGAATGTTGAGCACTATGTGAGCCCCTCAGGTCAAAGATGTGTCAAGCAGCCCAAAGCTTGTGCTCCAGGTGCCCATGTTCCACTTTATATTTGCGTTGTCCTTATGGTGAAACATATCATTAGACCCCTCCCAGATCTACATGTGTTAAGTTTGTGGGTGAAAAGGATGAATAAGTGTTTGTGGTTTTGTGTATTTACCTGATAAGCGAAACATTTTTTAGTTAGTGTTAAAAAAACCACAGCCTGAAAGATGAAGACAAATAACACAATCATCCACAAATTATTTTTAAAGCAGATACTTTGTTGTATGCTTCAATATGTCATTTTATTTCATAATAGTGAAAAGGGGGAAAAATGTTTGATTCTGTAAGTCACACTCAGATGTTTTTCATAAGCAGTTAATTCAGAATGTCTGCTCTGCATGATCACATGGATTTGCTGAATCAACCTGTCCTCCACAAACAGCTTCACACATTTTCAGTCTCTCACATACCCTGACCACACCAACAGGTTTCTTCAGCTTGGCGTCGCCCTTTGTGGTCACAAAAGATAGTGTGCAACATGTCTGCTCTTTTTATCTGTCTTCTGCGTGAGAACATTTTCCTTTCAAAGCCAACTGTGCATTTCCTACATGCACTTACTGTGTACTTATTGTCGAGGTAACACTGAGTGTCTAAACTACAGAGGATCAAATTCATAATATCTTGAGAGTATAAGATGAATTCAAAGTCAACTGTCCCAAAGTTTAATTAGTTGATTAAGAATTTGAAAGAACAAAGCAATGAGAGAAGAAAGTTTATCCCACTTTGCAAAGGGAAAGTTTGTCTTTTTTGCCATACTTGATTGTGTAGAATGAGACTTTGCAAATGAAGTCAAAAAATATACATCACTTTTCACAGTGTAATCTGCAAGCATTATAGTTTAATGTAACAGTCTATAGTGCAGAATGAAGTTAGAAAACCTTGTATTCATCCTCTCTGGTTTATCTGCAATTAAGATTTAGTTGTGAATGTTTTTCATAAAATGAAACTGTATGTTCTTTATGTCTGTTCATGTGTGTTGTTTTTATATAAGTCTGAGTACTTTACTAAACTGGTGTTATTTTTTCATACATAGCTTGTCTGTTCAGCAGAATCTTTCAAAATAAAAGCTGTGTAATTCAGCTCGATATAAAAGATTACACTCACAAAACTTTCTTTAAAGTGAAAGGATTATCTGAGTATTGTTGTCATGACGAATATCAGCACCCCAACACAAATTAATGTCTATGTCAGTCCAATACGGTGAAATGTTGCTTTAGTTTATCTGAAGAAGTAGAAGAAGACCCAACTCAGGCTGCATACTGACACTCCCCGCCCCCACTGTCTGCTACAGAGTGCTAGTCGGCTGTTTCATCAACACTATGAGTGCTCTGTGGCTGTTCAATGTGGTTGGAAATATGTTTTTTACCAGAACAACACCTCCTCTTTCTTCAGTGGGTTTGCTTTCAGCTCGAATGCACTCATTGACCACAATGTGCTGACCATTCCCCTGTTGATGCAGTGTGCATACAGCCAGAGAGCAGCTGCAAAAATATTCATACACACGCACTCTACGACTACTTCTATTACAATATGTCAAGCTTACATCTTTGACTCTCAACATTAAAGCTGATACATACAATAGTTTTTGTAAAGTTGAAATATTTGCCACCACTCCAACACATGCCAGTTTTTTTTAAACACAAACAAAGAAAACAAAACTAAAATGTTTAATGCCAGCGAGCAATGTTTGTAAATCTTTGACCGGGTAGGACAGTCTGAACTGTGGATTTTGCTGCATGAGCCTGAATTTAGGCGACATTTAACAAAGACCAATGTCCCAGACTTTATCACAGTCTAGACTTAGATACTCTGATATCCACCATATCATTTTAAAGAAGAATAATCACGATTTGTACGATCATTGTGGAGGATGTAGTGTCACGGTGGACAAAAAAGAAAAGCGTAGCTTTTTAACTGGTTATGCAAAGATAATAGACCAACATCTGTTCATTCATCGTTTTAGTATTCCAAGTTTGATTAAATGTTATAAGTCAGTAATGGTTGATCCACTTGTGTTATATGTTAGTTTCTCATGTATCCCTTGGTAAGTGGCATTGACACCCAATATAATATAAGTGCACTCATTCATTTTGATTAAGACAAACCAAGATTGTTATCTACCTCACTATTATACTGAAAAAGCCCCAAAGACATTATATGAAAACCACCTCAAACAACATAATGGTGGATAAAGCTCTGCTGTTCACAAAGGAAAAAAAAACAAAACACCCAATGCTGTTTCACCAATTTATTGAATCCAAGTAGAAAAATACTAATGTTGAAAAGCTGATGAAAGCAAACACGTTTAAGCACATGCATGTGGTTGAACAAATTGTTGCAGAAGCATGCGGACTCCAGCATAAGGTGAGCGGTTGAGGTGAATGCATAGACATACTGTAATGAGCTTGGATTTTTGAAGAATCATTCGGTTTGCTACACAAGACTAAATGCTCACTTTGCTCCACCTGGTCTTTCTTGCCTATGCATTTTTGCAGTTCAGATTGCTGTGAAATCGTACACTCTTTAGGATATACACGTTCTCACAGTCACGCAGCTTTCTATAATTTTTCTTAATTTTCTTGGTTATTTGAAAGATCTCATAAGGGGGGATAAGCACCTCTTCCTCAAAACTAAAGATTGAATAATTCTTCAAGGGAGCACCATAACAGGTCCTGATTTGAAAGCATGTCTTGTTTCCAAAACCTTTCAGGTTTGGACTTGCGGAGGTGGAGCTAAAAGAACCAAAGCGAATTTTCTGTTTGACTTCCCCAGTGAACACAGCCGTAGTTCTGCGGTAAGTGGTCTTACAGCCTGTTCTTTCACCAAGGATCTGTACGGCAGTTGTCAGCCAGAAATGTAAAAAGTGAAACGGAAAGGAGGTGCCATATATTGCTCTGTTTGTTCGGACTGCATCGTTGAATGTCATGTAAAACTTTTCATAATTAGATGTAAAAACACAGATTGCTTGAATGTGATTCTTGGTCAAAGCCCCATATTTGTTATTTTTAGCTCGGAATTTAACAGTTGCACATTCATTTGCTTTTTCCCAGACATCTGCAAATATCCCCTTGTTCTCTTTTTCAAAGTATTTGGTGTTGACGATTCGCTCCATCCTCGACCTGCAGCCAGAGTACATGTCATCAACAGAATCTGGAGACATGTTCAATGGAATGGACAGGATGGCATCTTGTAAAGTGATGATGGTGATCTTCAGGGGAAAGAAAAAGATGAGAAGAAAAGTTACGAGTTAGATGTAATACAAACCATTGTGCTGTGGTGTAAGAAGTCTTCAGATAGCTTACTTAAGGGGAAATAAGATTTCCTCAGTTACAACAATAAAGTTCAGTCAAACAAGTGTAAAAGTAAAGTATCATCTCCAGCTTTGTGGACAAGTGTCTCAAAATCTGGCCTAATTTAAAACTTTTAATGATGAAGATGTATTAAAGTACATAATCTCTGTACATTCTGTTACAATAAATAGTAATTTAACCCCACTCACAATATGTTGCCAGCCAAACTGTGGTATGAACCACTTACCGTCTTGGAGGCTACAAGGAGCATCCAGCAAAGGAGCAAATGCAGTGGAACAGAAATAAGCATTTTACTCGCCATCACTGCAATCAGACAAAATTTGATAATGTACAGGTACAGGCTAATACATAATGTGTCTGGACAGGGGTTGTATTAAATATTTATATATGATCGAGAAAAAAAATGTAATCAACTCACCTTTCAGAGGAGAATGTGTCTGATCAAAGTTATGAGGGAACAATGCACAATGCTTTGAGATTTCCTGGATACACATACGAAAACCCCCTCTCACACGTCACACACGTTTGTGGTGTTATTGTGATGGTCGGTTTTTGGTTTTAGAAATGCATGTCTGCTTGTCTCAAGGGACGTGTGGTTTTTTATTTTCACATACAAAGGACAGACCTGCTCAAGTGAACCGAAACTCAGTTTGTGAACATAACACTGATCAACAGCAGTGTATCAATCAATTAGATCAGTTTGATCAGAGGAAAATCAGACAGCCTGTAATCCATGTTCATTTTAATGCCAGTTTCCTTTTTGTGTTTTCAAACAGTTTGTAAAAATTTCAACAATGCAACATTTGTTTATTCAAGTTAATTTGTTTCTGTCATTAACAAAAGGAACAAGGGATCCAAAAGTTCCTCCAGGTAAAACTGTGGAACATGTAACGTTGACCAGCAGCATATGTGATAAAGTAAGGGATCATCATTCATTCATCAAGAAAAGAAGATGCACAGCATTTATATTTGATGTCTAGGTTCTGGTTCAGACATAACCTGAAGGCCAACAAAGCTTATCTTGCTTGGAAGGGTAATTCTAGGGATTCAGTTAGTTAGTGTCATCGACTGTAAGTAAAGATGGATGATGCCTCCCCACCTTAATGTTGTACAGTAGCAATCAGTGGGTGGAGCCATGGTGGCGAGGTCCCGCTGTCAATCATTACATCTCACCCCATTTGTAAGAAAAATATGCACTTGAACAAACATTGCTGTGGGTTAGAAACCATCTTTAAGAATTTTGAATGTTTAGTTTTGGTGCATGTCAAATACACCAACATGGTGGAGGCAGGGTTTATGACCTATGCTATAGATGGCTATCGTAAAGCTTTCGCCTCACTTTGGGGGATCTGTCATGTTGTCCATCTTTATCTCTGCAGGGAAAAGCACAGGTATCACAAACATCATTAACAAAGGCTCTGTTCTTTTCAAGAGAGCCACAGAGTGAAAGAGTCAACCCACAACCCTGAAAATCTCCATTTATTTAGCTATTTATAACTGCACTTTTCCCACTTTGATTGATGATGATTCAATAGCTCCCCAGCAGATGGCAGCATTATGCAACCGTTTGGCCCCTGTCTTTGAATCGTGCTGTGTGTGTGTGTGTGTGTGTTTGTGTGTGTACGTGTATGTGTGTATGAAAAGAAGGGAGTGGAGACAGTGCTTTGTGAGCTGATTAAAGACAGGGGGCAGAGGTTGATCTTTCAGGACGTCAGGATAGAAAAATAAACAGAGATCGGAAGGAACAGACAATAGCTATCAGTCTCCTGCAGACCCAGTGGACAGATGAGAGCCAAGTTTGGGGTTTGTGAGAAGACAGGAGCAGAGAGAGAAGAGTGCAAGCAAACAGGGAATGTGAAGCTTGTGAGAGGATGAGGGATCGACTGAGTATAGATATTTGGCTTAGCTGTAGCATACCTTGGAGAGCATGAGAGGAACACAGGTCTGCAGCAAAGAGAGAGAGAGGTAGAATAAGAGAAGACCCAGCAGGGAGAATGGGAGCTGTGCAAACACAGCAAGGTAGGAGTGTGTGTGTATATGTGTGCGCTGGTGTAGTGTTCAGTTGACGAAAGAAAAGAAAAGAATGCAGCTAAAAAACAAAAAGTGAAGCTACTATTGGTGTCACATGAATGGCTGCTGCCGGCTCAGGGGGCGTGTGGTTACCGAGGCCCAAAGGTCAGTCCGAAGGCAGCGTCTAGAGCACAACTTGCTAAACACAGACAAGATCCTTTGTTAATCTCAAAAAGTTGTAATTAGCCCCCGCATATAATACTGACGTACGTTGGTTCTCTTAGACAACAGCCTCTTCATTTACTACTTTTCAACTCTCTGTGTGTACAGAGCCAGGGCTTTGGATTCAAAAATATTTTCCAATGCACTCACAAATCATACAGGTAGTGGACCTCGAGGCGAGAATTTGAAAAAAAATTGCTTACCCCACCTTTAAGAGAGAGAGTAAGAGAAATTGTTTGGAAAGGAGAAAGAAGAAAGATAAAGAAAATCAAGGGGGAGGAAAAGAAATGTGTGAGAAAGGGGAGGACTAATGAGGATTTGGTGTGAGTAATGAGGAAAAAGTGTAAAAGATGAAGAGGAGTTATAAAGGGAGGTGAATAAATCGTGTTTCAGGGAAAATTAGAGTTGGAGGGATGGAGACTGCAAAGAAAAGAAGAAAGGAAAGGACAGGTGATTGAAGACATCAGGATGAGGTGTAATGGGGATGGGAAAAAGATGATAAACATTAGAAAGGGTTACACCAGGGTAAAGAAAAGAAAATGTACATGACATACAGGAAAGTGGAATTCGATTATTGGAGTCCAATGGCAACCTTTTTACAACTTGTTACTTATTCTTTTTCTCAGTTTGATGTTATATAGGTTTGTGAAATTATGAAAAGATTGTGGTTATACTTTGCATAAAAGGGACTGCAGCAGGTTGCAAACTCCTGTCCAGCATACGCACTGAATTTTGGCTTTAGACCAAAATCACATAGTGTGAAATCATCCAATATGGTCACTAATCCTAAAATACTGGACTGAAATTCCAATCAGAGAGTTTTGTATAATTAGAAGTAATACAATTCACAGATTTCACTTTCTCTGGAGGAGGTATTTCACTGAGTTAGCTCTGGTGGATAAAGCCGGGATGGGAAAGGACATCCTGTCATAGAAAGTCACAGTCAAGGTCAAAGCCGGACACACACTAGGAAAACTATGGCTAGTGATAAGATATCTGCAGCTTCAGAATCATAACTGAAACAAAGTGGTTTACTGATTGTTTTCACCTCTGATCGGAAGCATGAACAAACTGAAAGAGATGATGGTTGAGGAGGAGGGGCAGGTAATGTGGAAGGAATGCAGTGCTGGGTGAATAAAGAAGGGTGCAAACAAACCAACGCATTACATAGGAGATGTGTATGAAAGAGATGACTGTGAGTCGCCATCTGCTGAGGATGGCTGGATGGGGCTGGAAGATGAATATTTTTAAATATATCTGGAATGGATGTGCCCCAGATGATATCAGCAAGGATTAAAAGGAAGGGAGCACAGGGAGACGTATAGTGGAGAAAGAAAGATGCAGACATGCTGATGTGAGAAGGCAGCATTCAGTTTTTAGATAAACTGTTGTTCTTTATCCCTCTGCTGGTTAACAGCTGGTGGCCAGAGCCACTATGTTTTCAGATTGTCAGCCCATCTGTACGTACAGCCATCCGTCAATAGGTACGTACGTTTGTCCGTCCATCTCATTCTTGTGAATGTGATATCTCAAGAGCGACTTAAGATAATTTCTTCAAATTTGGTTCAAAGATTCACGTGAACTCAAAGAAGAACCGATGAGAGTTTGTCGTTCAAAGGTCGAGATCACTTTGAACTCAAAAAGTACATTTCTTTGACGTCTGACTGTGATAGTCCGAAACAGCTTGAGGGAATCCTTTCACATTCGGTATAAACATTCACTTGGATTCAAGAAATAACTGATTTGATTTTGATAGCCAAAGGTCAAGGTGACCTCTCTAAATATGTCTTTGTTGTTCTTGAACATGATATCTCAAGATCAGGCTGAGAGATTGTTTTCAAATTATATAAAGAGATTCACTAGGACTCAAAGATGAACTGATTTTGGTGGTTGAAGGTCCAAAGGTCAAGGTCATGTGACCTCATGTTTTTGAGATTGCAATATATCAGGAATGCCCAAAGGGAATTTCATCACATCAGGCACAAACACTCACTTGGTCTTCAGGATGACCTGATAAGAATTTGACAGTCAAAGGTCAAGGTGACGTGACCTTAAATGAATAAGAAAAAAAAAGTATAGATGGAAAACTGCAGTGGTTGGTGGAAGCATTCCACTGCAGTGCTGTATTTCATTTTTTTGAAAATCTATAACATGTTTGCTGTGTATATTAAAGTTGCAGTGCATTGTGATTAGATTTTGATGTAGCTGTAGTTAGATTGAGAGTTTCAGTGACTTCCCTGAAGACATCATCATGGCAATGCAATAAGAGGCATGGGGCTGGAGCCAAAATAAGGTCAGGAGAGAAGTAAAAAAGGATGTTGGGATGGACAGGAGATCTAAGGATGGAGGGAGGAAAAATGAAAAAATAGTGGAAGCAAGTGTTTTTCTGTCAGTGGATCAGATCCAGCAGATGAACTGAGAATAGAGGGATGAATGGGTGGGGAGAAAGGGCAGTGGAGAAAGAGGGCAATGAAAGAGGCCTATAGGTAATATGTGTCAGTGAGTTAGTGCAGCAGAAAGGATCCTCGTCAAGTGGGTCACAGAGGGCTGTAAAAACAGACATTAATCATACCTGGCAGCACGGCATCGTATATGTGTGTGAGTGTGTACATTACTTTCCATTGTTTCTCTCTCTTTTACATAGTTTGAACGTGTGTGTGTGTGTGTGTGTGTGTGTGTGTGTGTGTGTGTGTGTGTGTGTGTGTGCATATTATACTAAGTCAAGCAGCATTGACAGGACACAGATGCTGCAGCAGGTGAGGACAGATTGTTCCTTCTCCTTCTCTAATTCTTTTTTTTTCATCAGTGCAAACACTTCCCTCTATCTTCTCCTCCCACCCACACTTTTTCATGCTCTTTTGGAATATGACTCATGCTATTTTGCAACATTAAGGAAACTGAATTAACCCTAAATTATAAATGCACATATTTATTATCATGAATACAACTGTGCAATGCCAAGCCCTTAGTCGCATACATTTAAAAGAATGAGGATGCATTTTTTCCATTCAGGGCTGAGGTCAATCCGTTTTTAATCAATGACTTTTATTCAAACATAAAAAAATTGTATTACTAATCTGTCTCATTATCTGGACAAGCATCAACATTTAACAGGTTCTTCCCTGACACATACCATCCACCCATCAAGTTCAGTGTAGTGCTGCTAACAAACAAACACAGATGGATCGCCTCCTTGGCAG